AAAAAAATAGCTCCTAGACGCTTTGACCTTTTGTTTTGAAATTTTCACAAATGATTGACAATCTGTTTATCTTCAAAACGCCGTCGGGGCATTGTTTTTGGTTGAACAGTGTTACAACAATTGTACAGACAACTAGACTGGGTGTTAATTTATGCATAAACTTGAAGTTGTGAAATTTGGGCTGCTGCCCTGCAAAATTGACAACTGGTAGACAGTTTTCAAGACGGCGCTTTCTTCATAGTAAACAGATGTACCCACAAACCAATTTTGACAGGAAACAGAAGCATGGTATAGGAGCTATTTTTTTTTAAATCACTTTTGACCAAAAAAGCATATATTGTGCATATTTCAAACTACAGTGTCCATAAAAAAAAATACTAAAAAAAATTTTAAATTCATACAATAAGCTTTCCGAAAATATATAGTTTTGTGGACAAGGAAGGTCATCTTGGTTTCCTAATTAACTAATTAAAATACCTGTCAGGTAAACTGCATCTCTACCTTAAAGATGTGCTGCTAATAGAACAAATACAGTATGTGAGATCAAAAAAGTGATAGAGAAAGGAGACTGATCTGGTAACTGCATCCACCACTACTTTTAGGTTCTGCTGTGTCCAACTCAACCTTCTCACTACCAAACTTTCTTGCCCAAATTTTTCTGCACTTTTTTCTTTTATTGTTCAATATTTCTGGAAATGAACCTTAATTTTGGAACCAACAGACAAATTTTGGATAAATTTTCAGCTTTTGTCATATTTTGAAGGAAAGTGCAGACTATTTTGTGAATTTGTGATGAAAAGAGGGAACTGGTGATGAAAATGTTACATATAATCCCTTCAAGTTAATAGTGGCGTTCATGTGCCAAGACTCGGGTCGAGTCAGCACGTGCCGAAACTTGTGTGTGTACGATTGAGACTGAGTCGTCATGTGCCGAAAAAAACTTGATCTTGGTTCCAAAAGATTCTTGGGACTGAAACTCAACACGTGCTAAGATTTGCTGCCAGAACGCTCGGTGCGAGCCAAAATCGCGCTCTCGGTGGTAAATTTAAAAGAACATATGCTGATTTATGATATGACGATGAAGGGAAATGCAGATATATATGGTCAGATGCTGTTGTAATGAGTGAAATTAATGCAAACCATCATCAGCGAGGCATATGTATGTACTGCTGCAACTGGGATTTTCTTGCAATGCTACATTGAAGTGAACAAATAATTGTTTTTCGAATCTTCTTATTCGTTCATGTGCACGATGACTCGTAATAAATACCATAACAACAAAAGGATATAATTTCAATATAGCAATTACTATTATCATCATATGCGTATTGTTTTCCATGTTTGGGTCAAATAACAGATTGACCAATAAGGACGTGATTTCGGCATGAGTCGAGTCGGTCCTTAGTGGGTCCAGACTAACATGAACGCAACGGCTGTAATCCCTTTGCAAACACAAAGGATTAAAAATGACGGCACGTGTCGAGATCCATTAAGGTGAACATTGTAAATATTTCATTGAGACATATAAAAAAGCCACTGTGTCCGCATAAACAATGTAAGGAACACCAAACTGAAAGGTCAAAAAACTTTTCAAGAACGAACAACCATTTTCAAGATATATTGATTTGATTTGTGTAGTAATTCTCCTTTATTCTTTGGAACAAATGAAAATTACTACTAATTTAATAAATATTATATCATAGGCTGTGCTTCGTCTAAAAATAAATAATTTTACCCTTATTTGCATTGGCTTGACTAGCAAAAGGTTAGAGGAAGCCTTGATATGATAATTTAGGAGATATCCTTTGTATATCTTTGTTGTTATTTGTGGCGCAGTGTTTACTAAATGATCATGTTCTCTCTCACTGCAGTGTTCTTCCCAGGCTCAGAGGCAAGCATGGCGGTCTAATTTGCATGCT